TCTGTGTTATGCTGTCACAATAATAGACAAGAAAACCATAGAATGTGGAACTAAGTATCCTTGGTTCCAGAGCCAGTTCTCTTCTGTGATCTTGACTTTTCACATCCTTATTTTCTTTCTTTTTTTATTGATTTTTATTGAGCTCTATATTTTTCTCTCTGTTCCTTTCCCTGCCTCTCCCCTCCCCTCTTCAACCCTCCCACAAGGTACCCATGCTCCCAATTTACTCAGGAGATCTTGTCTTTTTCTACTTCCCATGTAGATTAGATCAATGTAAGTCTCTCTTAGGGTCCTTATTGTTGTCTAAGTTCTTTGGGGTTGTAATTTGTAGGCTGGTTTTCTTTGCTTTGTGTTTAAAAAACCAGTAATGAGTGAGTACATGTGATAATTATCTTTCTGTGCCTCACTCAAAATAATGTTTTCTAGCTCCATCCATTTTCCTGCAAAATTAAAGATGTCATTATTTTTTTTCTGTTGTGTAATACTCCATTGTGTAAATGCACCACATTTTCCTTATCCATTCTTCGGTTGAGGGGCAGTTAGGTTGTTTCCAGGATCTGGCTATGACAAATAATGCTGCTATGAACATAGTTGAGCCCATGTCCTTGTGGCACTATAGAAGAGAAAGTGGAAAGTACACTTGAATGAATTGGCACAAGAGGCCACTTCCTAAATATAACCCCAGCGGCACAGACACTGAGAGAAACAATTAATAAATGGGACCTCCTGAAATTGAAAAGCTTCTGTAAAGCAAAGGATGTGGTCAACAAGACAAAACGACAGCTCACAGAATGGGGAAAGATCTTTACTAACCCCACATCAGACAGAGGTCTGATCTCCAAATCATACAATGATCTCAAGAAATTGGTCATCAAAAGAACAAATAATCCAATGAAAAGTTGAGTACAGACCTAAACAGAGAACTCTCAACAGAGGAATTTAAAATGGGTGAAAGAGACTTAAGGAAATGTTTAACATTCTTAGTCATCAGAGAAATGCAAATCAAAACAACTCTGAGATTCCATCTTACACTTGTAAGAATGGCCAAGGTAAAAAGTTGATGACAACTTATGCTGGAGAGCTTGTGGGGAAAAGAGAACACTCCTGCATTGATGGTGAAAATGCAAGCTGGTACAGCCCCTTTGGATGTCAGTATAGCAATTTCTCAGAAAATTAGAAAACAACCACCCTCAAGACCCAGTAATACCACTTTTGGATATATATCCAAAAGATGTTCAATTGTGCCGTATCCTCATTTTCTCCAATTTAAATAACAATTCTTCATTCCATTTTCTTTAAGACTTAAAAGCTATGTATTGTTGTTATTATTAGTTTTATTGGTGGATGTACCATGACAATGGTCTAAGTGAAAATACTTTATTTTTTCTTATCTCCTCTACTCTGCTTAAACTAATTGTTTCATAATGTTTCTAGCTAAATGGTAAGATTTATAAAATTTCACTGTAGTTAGTATCTGCTCAAATACAATATAACAAACCATGATATTAGGTTATAGTTAAGGCTGCTGTAAAGTTACTTAAAACTCACAACTTGATATACAAGACATCTGCTGACCTGACTCCTGAGATTTATTGTTATATGCATAGATTAAGTTGTTTCTTAACTCTCAACAGAGATGCTTCTATTTGCAGTAGATAATAATTAACACTGAGACCCACAACTGGTCAAGGTACAGAGGATAAGAACTTACAGAATGTTCAGCACTACATGAGATATTTATATTACATCACTTCCTCCAAGGCTCAGGGATCATTGTAGAAGAGGGGACTCAAAGCATCTAAGAGCCAGAGGCAGTAGATGATTACATGGAAACTGTTTTCAGACTTAACAGGACAGCTGCACAAATGAACTCACAGCCATTGTGACAACACATGAGACCAGCACAAGCTCCAGCCAGACTAAATCCGAACTTGAAAGGGAAAGTGATCATGAAGTCCCTTCCCTAGTTGAGCAGCTAAATTTCTTAAAAGTGTATGCCCTACTAAGTCGACCATGCTCCAGCGGAAGATCACACATAAATAAATATATGATAAGCATTGAATGGAATTCAATGGGTGCTAACAAAAGGACAGAAAGTTGTTTAGGTAGGGAAAGGGATGGATCTGGGAGGAAATGGAGGAGTGGGTGAATATGATCAAAACACATTTACAAAATTCTCAAAGAACTAGTAAAAAAGTCCATAAAAGTATGTTTTATATACTGTGTGTGTGTGTGTGTGTGTGTGTGTGTGTGTGTGTGTAGCACAAATACTAAAAACCCCAAAACCAGAAAAGCAAGGCAGCCAAACCAGTAGAGAAACCTTACCTCTTCCAAGACTGGGCAACAGCAGACTAAACCTCTCTCTCATTTTGTATTCCCTCTAGTGCTAGGATAAAAGGTGTGTGCTTCCCTAGAACTGGGATTAAAGGTGTAAGCCACCACCACCTGGATTTGTTTCTGCTTATATCTTGTGTAGCCCAGGGTGGATCTTGAATTCACAGAGATCCCTCTGCCTCTGTCTTCCAAATCCTGGGATTAAAGGTGTGTGTCACCATTACCTGCCTCTAGTGGCTTTAGCTTTGCCTCTGGAATTCAGGAAAGATTTATTTACTAAAATACAAATAGCATGCCACTATATATTTAGATATGCCATAGATCTGTGCTCTATTTATCTTCTCCCCTCCTCACCTTTGCTGCTCTTTCTTCTCCTTAAATAGCTTCACTTCTGCTTTTATGACATATGAACCCAAAATTATGTTTCTTTGAAATAATATTCTATTAATTCCTTGACAGTTTAATAATTTTATCATACTTACTTCCATTCCCCAACATCCTCCCATATCTCTCCTCCATGCCTTCACTTTCCCACAAATGCAAATTTATGAGTTTTCTATATCCATTCAGTACAAGGTGTGTTGCTCTATTGCCTTTAGGGATGGGGTCAGTCCTGGAATATTGCTGACTTACAAGGGGTCACATATAATGCTGTTTCTTAGAAATATTATGAAATTTAAAAATTTTTCCATGTTTGTTTTTATAATTGAGCAGAAATATAAAACAATTTTCATTGGGCTCATTTCAAGGGGAAATGTTTATGGAGCATCTTAGCTTGCCAATGCTACACAGTAAGATGCTGTAAAAAAAAAGTTAAGAGGCTAGGTTCTGAGACCATTCAAGTAGTTGCTAGCTTTTTGATCATGAGTAAATCACTAAACCTCTCTGTGCCTCTGTTTATCTCTTAAAACAGGAAGCACAATGACGCATCATGATTTAATCCCCATAAAGCATCTGTAACAATCTTGGATGTAGTATTATTTAATAAGTTTTAGACTGCAGTTTTAACCTAGTTTCTTGAAAGGAATTATGAGACATTTGAATTCAAATGCAAAATTGAATCTAAACTTAGGACAACCATGTGCTCATCTTTTGCTGTCCTGCATTTTGCATTTTCTTTAGACAGGTGTTGCTGATTTTCACCATGAATGACAAAAAAGTCCCTAGGAAGATAATGCCAGATGGTGGCTTTTATGTCTTCACATGTGAAGGAATCAAGCAAGAAGAAAGAAAAAAGGAAAAGTGAATAAAAGAGGTGGGGAAGAAATGTCTGAGCCTACTCTAGTCCTTTCCTTGTCCACTTCTGAGCCTTTTCCTTCAGCCCTACCCTCTTACAATGGTAACAGTGAAACTTTCAGGAAAGATCAGTCCTGGGTAGTATGAAGTATTCTAAAATGAGATTCAAGTCAAACTGAAGTGTGAATTGAAAATTATACCAAAAGCTTTATCTTCATTTAACCGTAAGTGTTCACTTTTACTGAACCATGGGACAAAGCAAAGTTATCATTCCAAAAGCAGAAGAAAAGAAAAAGAAACCCTCAAAAATACCCACCCCAGCCATCGGTGGCGCACGCCTTTAATCCCAGCACTCGGGAGGCAGAGGCAGGCGGATTTCTGGGAGTTCGAGACTAGCCGGGTCTACAGAGCTAGTTTTAGGATAGGCCCCAAAGCCACAGAGAAACCCTGTCTCGAAAAACCAAAAAAAAAAAAACCCAAAACACCCAAAGCAATGAAACAGATGTGTAGAGACTACTAAATCAAAAATGTGCAAAATAAACTGACTGTGTACTTAGAGCTAGTGAAGCAAAATAAAACTTATTGCCTTTACAAAATTGTGATTTTCTTAAGGGTAATGTTTGTTTTATATATTTATTTGTTTAATTTTATGTTACGAAAATAGAGGAAGTTTTGTTCTCAATTTCTACTTTAAAATCAGACATACAAAAAATTTACATAGCAAAAGTACCTCTGTACTTAAACCTGTTTCAAGGGAAGTCATAACACAAAGTTCTAGTTATTTTTATTTGCTTATTAAGACTAAAGTCACTCATTCTGACTTGGAAGTTAGGAGTGTGAGTATTGAGTCATTTATTTAAATAAGTCTCCTAGTTCATGCTCACGTTGGTTACTTTGAACAATTCAGGACTCGAAGTAATTTTCTTTCAACTAGTAAGAATTCATGTTTCCCAACTAAAAAATAATTCATGCTTTCCCATTTTGTTATAAACATTCACCTTTACACAAGGCAGAAACTGCCTTTACTTATTATAAACAGAAGAAATTTCTATATACCCTTTGTAAAATGTTATATATAAATAAATGCTAGGCTAGGACATGAGGGAAGTTAATCAAAATCCCATGTTGCTTCAGGGTAGTTATATGTGAAATGAAATTTTCATTGTATTGAAAGTTCCATTCTATAAATATTTATTTATTTTCAAAATTGCCAACATATTTGAAAAGTTTAATTGGTTTATACTCAAAGCACTGGAGAAAAAGAAATTTGCTTCACAAGACACTGACATGGGTTTTTTCTGTTCACGTAGGGGAGTTCTTTCAAGAGATAATGAAATTTAATGTGAAGCGAAGCCATCCCAGATATGGTCCTAATAACTTAATTAGGAAAAAATTAATCAAGAATCCATCAATCATTTTAGTCACTGTACCTTTTTTCTCTGATTTGTCAGAAACTTTTCCTCCAATGGGAGAGTAAGTAGTGTCCATGGACTCGGTCCCTGTGTTCCCATTGCTAATTCCATTCGCATAGATCTGTCCAACTGGTTGCAACTGCCACGTCAGGCCAAACAAGTGTACTGCTGTAAGAAAACAAGCGTATATTAACTTATTCCGACTCACTTAGATGGCTGCTAACCCAGCTATCCTTTTCCACCTGAAAATGTTAGAATTAGTGGCTTTTTAACTAAGCTAATGGACCAGAAGTTTTAAATCTATATCAACAGATATAGTTCTTTTCTCAAGAAACTGGTGCTAAAACATTGAGCCAAAAGCTATCCAAGAGATAGTTTTAGAAATTGGAGGATTATTTGACCAATTACATTGGGATTGTTCTTGGCTCCTCAGGGCTGTGATCTCATCTGTTTCCATTTTCCTTGGTCATGTAACTCTAGTTTGCATATGGAAACCACTGCAGAATAATGTGGGGAGGAAAATACCAACCCAGGAGAACTTCCTTATGACTGACCCAATTCAATTCAACAAATATTTACTGAGTTCCTAGTATTCACAGGCCCTTCATAACTGATACATGTGTTAAAATCTAGATGCCTGTTAGAGAAAGATTTGGTAGTTTTATAAATGTAAAATAGTCATAATATTATGTAGAAGAATTGATATAATGTATGTTTAATTTTCTATCAGAAGCCTGAGATCTTTGGTAGTGTCATTGTGCAGGAATATGATCACATCAATTTTGTATGAAAATAATAAAATATAAGGAGTTTTGTGTAAGATAATGTGGGATTATATATAAAAGCAAAACAAAATATGAATATAGAAAAACCTTAAATTTTGACTTGTCTGGGAAAAAAATCAGTTTGTAAGAAATTATTGTGAATGTATTTAAGATTGTCCATGATAACATCTGAAAATAATATTCAAAACTTAAAATCAATCTAAATATTTATCAATTGGTGTGTAATTACCTGGTGACGCATTAATAACACAAAATTATATAGTTATTAAAATTGCACTGAAAATGTCATACAACATCCTTGGAAATAATCATGAAGCATCAAATGAAAATGCCAGGCTTCCCAAAAGTATGAATTATATAATCTGAATTTTGTGACTGTGTATGACTACATATACAGGAATTCATATCTTAGAGAAAGAATGTGTGGAAGCCACATGTTAAGGGTTTGGGAGCTTATGGAGGATTTTAGTTTTCTCTTTATCATTTCTATATTTTTCTATTTGAAAATAAATGGATTAAAGAAGAAATAAGCTATATTTGGCTAGCATGATTTTGTAACGAATTATTTTTACAAAGGAATTACTATTAGAGATAAATACTTATATTTGTGTATACTTTGAAGAGTAACAGAGACAGGAAGGGTGAGGGGAAGGCTGAACAAAGTATTAATTCACAATGCGCAGAGTGGTTTGGAAACAAAGGATGCTGTTTGGGTTCATTGGAGCTTAGCTATGGTAAGTAAATGCAGAATGTTAGCGTTAAGGCCATATTTTAGAAAACTATGGGTGCCACACTTAGATATTTGCATTTAATTTACTAAGCAATATAAACATTAATATTTCCTGAACAGGTGATATGTTAAGCTTTCTTTAGGGGGTTAAGTTAGATATAAATGGGATTATTGAGTGTTTTTACTGAAGTAAATGATATCAAATTACATTTCGCAAAAAGATAATTCTAGTCACAGGGCAAAACAAAGTAAATTGGAAATGTAAAATATGTATCAAGGAAACAAATGGGGTGGGCTTTCAGCAATGTTGGTGAGAAATAGTTCCTCAATTCAGTTAATGTCTTAAGAGTGTCTCAGTTATTTACAGTGAGAAGTCAATAGAGGTCCCATAAGAAGAAATTGTAGGGTGGTGGTGCATGCCTTTGATCCCAGCACTCAGGAGTCAGATGCAGGAGGATCTCTGTGAGTTCACGGCCAGCCTGTTCTACAGAGTGAGCTCCAGGACAACCAAGGCTACACAAAGAAACCCTGTCTCAAATGACTAAAAATAGATGATAATAAAATAACAAAGAAGAAGAAATTGTAGATTTAACAACAACTCCTGTACTTAAGGCTCAGGAAAGATTATGGAAGAGGGAGCAGAAAGAGTATAAGGGCCAGAGGACCCAGGAGTTTGCTGTGACATTGTCTCCTCATAATATCATTCGTGTACATAGGTGTACGAAGAGATCATGGACATATAGATGAACTAATTATAAGACTAATTAAAAACGGTTACAATTTAGAACCATAATAACTGATAAAATGGTGAATCCATTAAAAATATTTAGGGGATTCTTTACTTAGCTTACAAGTGGTTGGAGCTGCATCTATGTTCTATAGATGACTAATTGAACAGATAGTTTGAGGTTAGATGCGAGGAAGTAAATGAATTCGTCCTGAGAGAAATGGGTTTCCAAGGACTGATGTGGCATCCAGAAACTTAAGCTTATACAAGGATACTAAAGCTAGAACAAGATTGTAAAAACATGCATGCACAGAGTCAACAGTGAAGTTATGAGAGTGAATGAAGCCACTGAAGAGACTGTTAGAATAGAGCCTAAGGTAGAATGCCCGTTTTTCAAATACTACCAAAAGGTGAGAAAGCAAAAGTGAATCTTTCCAAAAATCATTTGATATTTTTCTTCATGTTATTAGGGAACCTGAGAGGATTTAATTTGTACTTCTATCACTTATATATACTAGCCAAAAATCCCATTTAAAAATCATCTGTCTACTTTTAGTTGGAGCTAAAGAGATTTCTAACATCCAATTTCTACTTTATATTTAAAACTTTAAAGCATTTAATTGGTTTCTCCCTTTTCATTGGATTAAAGCCAATGTATCTTGATGATTTTCTCTTGTGATTAATGGAACTACTGAAACCAAAGGATAAAGGTTTTGAAGAATATACGGCATATTAAAAACACAATATTAGTGCCATTGCTGAGATTTTCTGGCCAAAAAAAAGTGAAGTTTGGTTACTCTTATTGTCCTAGTTCAAGGTATTTATTAGTATCTTAGAAAGTGTATTCAGGTCCCCCCAATTTAATAATATTGATATTACAAATCATATTGAAAGTTGTTTCATTTCCATGGCTCAATTATTTTTGTGAAATTAGATTGACCATTTATAACAGAAGGCATAATGAGTGTCATTTTGAAAACCAAGAGAGCTATTTTATGTACTTTATTTAAGTTCAACCAGTTTCCTGAGGGCATAATAAAATGAGGAGAAAATGCATGTGATGAGACAGTCATTTTAAAATATGTAAGGAGGATTTATCTTTTACTGTCAGAAGAAATAGGCAGATACAGAGGTAAGAGCACATTCAAAAGAACATTCTGTGAGAGCAATGAAGTTTAATAATTTTAAGTATATGATATGTTTTCCAGGGAGCAAGTTGTTTAGAATGTATATTGGTGTGAATATATAACGAAAGTTAATTACTTGTTCCAGATCAAGGGTACCATCGCAAGATGACTGACCTTTTCTCTCTTCTACATTGAATATCTATATGTTGAGTTGCGAAAGGAATCCAAACAGTGTATTTATATGAAGAGTAGACTGTGGTATCTAAAGAACTCCAGAGTTTTATTAGAAACAATCATAGCTTTGCCATATTAAGGCAATCAATAAATGTATGTTGATTTGTGCTATATATCAATATGTCATTAAAAAGACTTGGTAGTAGTTTACACGTAGGGATTATTTTTTATTTAAGAAATATTTTCAGATATGTAACAAGTATGCTGGGGATGTTGGGGATACAGACAGAAAATGGATGAAATTGGCAATCATTATATTAAGTGATGTAACCTACACTCAGAAATAGAAAGAGTTCATGCTTTTTCTTATATGTGGATTCAAGGCTTTAGCCACCCCACCACCACACACACACCTAATATGGATACTATAGGCAGACAATTTATATAGCCTACTAAGAATGGACTGACTGACTGACATCCTTGGAAAGAAGATAAATTTTTAAGTTATATTCGTATTTAGTTTACTTAATAACTACTTTATGCAAGGAAGTTTTTTTTTTATTTTAGTGTTCAGAGTTGTACAGAATTTAAGTGATGACTTAAGATAGACCAAGAAAAATATATGGTATAACATAAATTATAAAGCTGAATTTTTATGGAACCAAAGAAGTACAAATCAGATATTTTGAGGAAGTTAAAAGTTCTGTGAGGAAAATATAGGTAAAGGTGTGGACAGTTAATATTTTATGTTACAGGATCCAGAATTGCCTAAGAGACAAGCCCTGATAATGACTGTGAAGAATTACTTTATAAATTAGCCTCATAGTATACTTGAAGGGATTAACTAGATTAGGTTAATTGTGGCTGACATCCTTACAAGTAAGAAAGCTGACACCTAATATTCATCTCCCTTTGCTTCCTTACTGCAGATGCAATGTGACTGGTTGGCCTCTTACTCCTGCTACCCTACCTTTACTGTTACAATGAAATATATCATCTAACAGTCAACATCTTCTGCCTTTATTTGTTTTATCATAGCAAAAAGGAATAGCATCTAACACAGTGCAGTCAGGAAAGGCTTCTCAGAGGGAAGTTACATTTGAATAAGATGGACCAGGTGACACACAGGTATCTAGAGCAGTGGTTCTTAACCTGTGGGTCATTAACCCCCTGGGATTGCATATCAAATATCCTGCATATCAGATCTCTACAGTATGGTTAGTAACAGCAGCAAAATTACAGTGCTGAAGTAGCAATGAAATAATTGTATGTTTGGAGTCACTATTACACGAAGAGCTGTAATAAAGGGTCACAGATTTAGGAAGGTTGAGAATCACATATGTAGTGCAAATCCTTCTAGATAAACAGAGTAGAGAAATAAAAATCTTTGAAGGATAACATGAAATCTGCTAGGAGCATTAAGTACCTAATGTGAGGCCAGTCAGGAAGAGTGGGAGAAAAACTCATATGCATAATTACTGGTCCCATAATCCTGTTATTTTAGTGGTCTAACCCACTTCACACATAGTCATCAATGAACAAGAAATGAATGGAAACTGATAAAATTTAAATTTTTCAAGTAGTGCTCCAAATGAGTTAAGGAAGACATAAATATAGTACTTGAT